TATCATTCGAATCTAATTTACGGAGGGTTGGGAGTGAATGGAATTATATTCCTAGCTGCTACACTCTCGCTAGTTTATAAATGTTGCAAAACAAAAAAATGGGGAACATGTACTAACAATACTAATAAAAATAATAAATTGGACATGAAACAGAACCCTGCTACTATAATTACCTTCGCCAATACTCCGGAACCAACTAACGTCGCTCAACACGACTTTACTAATATGTTACCCGATTCCGAAATTCCCACCTCCTTACCCAGTCGAGAGACAAAATCGGTGCATCCGAAACAAAGTCCTGTAACAATCTAAACTACTAACTAACACAATTGGGACCATTAGTACTGGACTTTATCTCATGTATGGAAACATGACGGACGGAACTGTATTTTCTTTTTCAGCTCTAGTATTGTTCTTGGACATAATGAACAATCAGCCTGCTTCGAGTATTGAAGATCCAAGAGGCATTAGATTCTTGTACTCGGCCGACATAAAGCTGAGTGACTTACTCGTAAAACTAGAATCTGTAGGGACGATTATAGAATTCCATTCCATAGAAAGTATATCAGGACCGGATACAAAATTGGCTCTTTGCCGATATCAAGACACCAGACAGGCTGAAAAGGCTAGAAAGCTGGCGCAATATATTACTGGAACTTCTCGAGAAGAAGCCGTATATTCAGCTGACTTGAGATCTCGAATATACAAGAGGGTGATAATAAAACCAAAGACACCCATTAATAAGAAAAGATTATTTTGTAGATTGCCTTGGGCAGTCCCGGAACAAAATAGGGAGGTCGAATTTTTTGAACATTTTGTCGAATTTGGACGACTATTATATCATAGAGTAGTAAGAAACAATAGAGGACGACTTTCATTGGGGTATGTACAATACTATGATGAGAAAGATGCAACTAGAGCTTTACAATACAGTAACCCTGAGTATGGTGCACAATATGCTAAAGACCGTGAACAAGAGGTGAAGCGAACCGTATTTTGCTGGATATGTGACGATTATGTCGATGCAAAACTAGAAGATGAACACTTCTATACTTGTAAGTGGCAATACCAGAGGACATTGTGGTTAAACAAAAATAATTCTGCATCTAACGACAGATAACGTAAAGTTAACAAAAAACAACGTACATCGAACTCACTTGAACAACTGTCAGAAAGGCCTAGATACACGTCAAATATATTGGTACAAATAACAAACACCGGTGCCGCCAGCTCCTCTGATGCATCGACCGAATCACAAACAGGACACGGAAAGGACGTTGCTAAAATATACATGAAGAAACCAAATTCAGAATCTGACTGTCCAGAAGGAACGGCCACCGAACGAGATTTGGAAATGACTGATGGAGAAATCGAGACTGAGGTCAACTCAGAAGATCAAAAATACTTAGAAGATGCAGCTGCGTCATAAGAAAATATATTTTTTGAACTCCTCTCTTTTATAAACTATTTTATATATACAATTTTTATATAGTTTCGTGATCTTACGTACATTTTTATTTATCAAAATCTGTATTATTTCACTTTAAATTTTAGTATGTAAAGCGGGTAGAAGGACAATAACTATATAAACGGACTTCACGGACTGTCTTTATCACACATAATTCCATTCATTCATATACTCTCTTTAAAACTTTTATTAATGTCTCTCTCTTGTATATCTTTATCCTACTATTATTTTCTTCTACATAGACATAATCTTACAGGACATAGTCATGTCGGCGCCCAACAGGATGAACGCCTTAACAAAAGGGGTTACAGTAGCACCCTACCACCAAGAAGAAAACACCTTGGTGGTTATTTTCCCTTCGACTACCGTGGAATCTGATGTAGTCCAATACCTCCTAACCTATGGACCTATCGAACAACTTCGTCAATTTAGGTCTCGACTGGATGGACACAAATCCCTCCGTATACGCTACTGCGCCCATGCGGACTACCATTCGGCCTTAAACAACTACCTGAATGATAGTATCCAGTCCTTAAATCCGAACTCTTCCAGAGTTGTGATCAGGGAACAGGAATTCGGGCATCGGGTATTCCTCCGAATCCCGATGTACTGTTCGTGGGAACAGGTATTTAAGGACTTGGCAATCTGTGGGACTCTGGACTATATGTATTTTACGCCTATCACGACATATGGTTCGTATTTCCATTTTACCTGCAGTGTGCGATTTGTGACCAAGGGTTCTGCTGCTGAGGCTGTCCGACTATACCATAGGGTATATGGAGCCAAGTTAAAGCTAGAAAGGATTGTCCCCCTGTCCCTGCATAACAAGAACCAGTACATCTTTCATGCACAATGCAAAAGTATTGTCAAGAAGAAGGACTTCGAAGTCCATGAAATCCTATGTAACATGCAAATAGGTAGGGACTGGATAAAACATTGGCTATGCGACAAATCCTTCGAAAAACGAAGCTTTTACCTCTATCTACGTAAGTGTCAATGTGAGAACTAGATGGAACCAGAGCAGTCCGAAGAATCTGTGGGCCAAAACGTGGTATTCACCACCGTGCTGGAAAACATTTTGGACGAGCTGGCAGCAATGCCCATAAACACTACCAATCTTTAACTTTAATTTTCAGTCCTTGTAACTCTTTCCCTATCTTTATAAAAAAAAAAAATGTGTATAGTAACCATTTTAATAATACATATATATTATCCGTTCTTACCATCCTTAATCATTCATGTTTATTCATTCTTACTGGACATATGATTCCCGAGGACGGTAATCATTCTAAGGGGGGTAGGATGTTAAGTGACAACTTTTAAATTCACTTAATCCTGATATATGTCATAATGTATATGTATTAGTATTATGTATAATTACGCCGCGCGTATTAGTCGTACGCATTTAGCGCGCGTGGGCGGTTCGGCGGCCGCGTAGTAATGCAGTGACTACGTAGTAACACTCTCGCGCTGCATTACTGTATCGCCCACGCCTAATAAAGCAGTCTCGTGCCAGAGTTAATCACGTCCAGTCGTGCCACAGTTCAATTCTCTTCAGAATTACGTACAGTTTTCATTCAGTTCTTTTGAAATTTTTGTCCTTCTTGTTTACTTTTTCTAGTTTCTTGTCAACCAGTTTTTATTATTATTTCCTAAAATCAGTATATTTATATTCTTTTTATCAGTGATTAACGTATACGCGTGACGAAATGGCGAATGCGTTAATAAACGTATTATTATATATATATATACGTATACAGCGTACGGACAGGCAAATTCCAGCAAATTACTTATTGCAAGGACAACAGTTATTATAAGGACCAGCTAAAATAAAAGATTATATTTCTTGGACAAATATTCTAACAATATACACATATATATATAAATATAAATTCAAGGACAAGTCTATTAATAATTATAACAAATAAACATTTAACAAGTAAATAACTCAAGATTCATTATTATAAAACTGTCTTCTTCTTACTTATTTTTCTATAATAATAATAATTCTTGGAGTAATTACCATTTGACAAATTCCACGTATTCATTTTGCGTGTAACTACACACATATATATATATATATATATATGTAAGATTAATAAATTCTTAATTATTTTAGCTTTGGCATTTTATTCTCGCGATTCTTTTTATTTATTGTTATAAATACCGCTCGCGCCGACCGGTCAGATTAGCGTCATACGATCTCTACGAAAACGTCGTATAATAGCTTACGCTGACGAAGTGTTTAACAATTAAGCGCGTTGCCGGATAACATGATATGCATGTGTATAAGATAAATAGTACGTCTGCGATATTTTGATTATATTTAAAAGAACTTAATTTCAAATTGCTCGTCAAACGTAGCCACGAATATTACATGGAAAATAATTTTATTTTTTTTTTAGTGTTATGTAAACGTATTGATATCGAGTAATCACACGCAGTAATTTGTTTTACGGATATATAGTATATCGCCAAATTCACCATAATACCGTGTGAAGTAATCTTTACTAATTTACTTAATTACCATTTATGTCCCATAAATATACTAATGTATAAATTATATTCATCAAATAACTTGCGAGCGTTAAGTGAGCGGGGCCTCATACATGCAGCAATTCACCACATCGAGTTGTAGTGTCACTCGTTTGCTAAAAGTACACTAACGACGTGTGTGTCTACCCGAAACCACGTCACAATGAATAAACGGAATTGTTTTACAAAAAACGTTGTAACTTTTTATCCGCTCAATGAAAATGGATCCTGTTCCACTTGTCATTTTAAATGTAACAGAAATATACGTACAACTTTTACACTTTCGATTTTTAAAATTTGTTAAGCCATCTAAAAGTTATAACCTATTTAATGATAAAAAATTAGAAAAATAGTAATATGTTTTGAACTTAATAAATACAATTTTTAATTTAATAAATAAATACCGACGGGATATGACAGGTATTACTTTACTCTTCAAAATGTGCCTGCGTGCGTTCTTCTACAACCACTTTAGACGGACTTGTAAAATTTTTAATTTTAAATGATTTTTTTGGCCAGAAACTTATGTACGACACTGTATATCAATTTTCTTAGGTATTCTGATTAGTTTGGCTTAATATTCTCTAATGTATATTTTTTATAAAATAGATTACATAATACAGCGTTGTCGCTGAAAAAAATACTCCCAGAATCCCGAAATTATTTGAATAGGTAAATCGTATATTCTATCATTTCAAGATATTTTCTACAATTCAATAATAATAAAATAATAGTAATAAAAAGCTAACTAATAGTAATAAAAAATTGGTTAATATTTTCTCGGATTATGTTTTAGTTGTAAAATATATTTGAAATGAAGAAATGTTCACTTAAATTAGTTAAATGATTTTTAGATCCTAGATGCAATTATTCCAGCGGTAAAATCGATATTGAATTCGATCAAACTAGAATATTAATTTTATGATTTTTATTTGTAGAATATACTTTTATGATGATGCATTCATCGTAGAAAATAGATTATTGGTTAATGCAAATAAGATGTTTTATTACAAATGTTCAATGTCCAGATATATGATAATAATTAAAATGATTTGTAAAATGGATATTAAGTTAAAATTATAATTTAGAAACAATGTATCTATAGGTAATTAAATGGGTCCATAATTGCTTAAGGCGGAAGGTCTTTCTTGGTGCTCATAACCATTGTTACTTGAATCACCTTCCACCAGCTGGTGTCGTCATACATGTGATAATGGAGGTTGTTTTAAGACATGATGGTGAATATGATGTTGTGAGGTACTAGTAATACTGCTAGGCTGTAATAGGGTGCTCCCTGGTCCAGAAACTGTAGAATACTGTGCAACAATTGATCGATTCAAAAGTCCTTTGTTACTAGAAACATTTCCCAACCCATCACCGGTTACAGCTGCTACATTATTTGGAATATTTTGTGACTTTTGAAATAAGCGTCTCCATAATCGCCGCCACGAATCAATAGTTTTACCACTCCAAATCCATACCCCAGATGTGATTCCTACTGCTAATGCCATAAAGTATTTTAGCATTAAAATTGAGTATATAGGTTTTACGCGTTCTTCACAAGGACAAGTTAGCGAAGTGAGCCAATCTATTCTATATAATGTTTCATATAAATAGCAAGCTAGTACAGCACTTGCTGGAACCGTATATAAAACAGAAAAAATTCCAATTCTTATCATTAATTTTTCTAACTTATCTGCTTTTGCGCCTGGTTGACGTTTTATTACCGAACGTATGCGAAATAAACTAACAAATCCAGCAAATAGAAATGTTGTTCCTAATAAAAGATACACTAACAATGGCGCTATTATAAATACTTGAATGCCTTCTGATGATATTGTGCAAACACCAGCTATTGGATCACCGCCAATGTTACCAGATATAAGAGCCCATACTGTTTGAGCAGACGGCGCCATCCACGCAGCTAAATGAAAGTATTGGGAATACGATGCGATTGCCTCGTTTCCCCATTTTAAGCCTGCGGCAAGAAACCAAGTGAATGCTAGAATAACCCACCACACTGACGAAGCCATTCCAAAAAAGTAAATTAATAAAAAAATAGCTATGCACATGCCAGGTCCATGTGTACCATATCTGAGTATATTCCCATGGCATGCTATTACTTCGTGCCCGAATACACTTCTTGATAAATATCCAAGAGACACTAAAAAGTAACAAGCTGAAAGAAAAACGATAGGTCTTTCTGGGTATTTAAAACGCTGCGTATCTATTAAAAATGTGATGACTGTAGCAAGAGTACTTGTCGCACACAGGCCGCTCCACAACGTAAGCCATATTGCAGCAAAATCTTTTTCTTCGTTAGTTAAAAATGCTCCATGGCATGGTAGAGCACAATACTGAATTCCTACATCATCTAACTTCTGCGATAAAACTAAATTGGTATGTGCAGAAATTCCAAATGTATCGAAACTAGATATATCACTATTCTCTCGTATGGGTGATACAATCGATATTAGTGGAGGTCTGCATCTACATTTGCATTCACTCTCTTGACAATTTTTAAAATTTTTACTAGCTTGACATTTTGGCGACTGAATACTTTTCGATGATTTGGTAGGTTTGGGTAATGAAACTGGTGGCTGAGTGTGCATAGATATTTCAGTAGAAAGTAGTGTTTTATTATCTTGTTCCATGCAAAGATTTTCTGTATCTCCTTGATGGGGAAATCTTTCACAAGCCATTCGCTCAGGCCATGAAAATCCATACTGTTCCATTAAAGGAGAACATCCCAAGCGAGCTCGTTCACAGACACTTCGACAAGCTGGAAGTGGTTTACTATATTCAGGTAAACATATTGGAGTATACAGCGAGCATAAAAAAAACTTTAAATCTACAGAACATTTTATTTCAACAAGAGGCCAAAATTGATGAACTTCAAGTCCAGCTTCTTCTTGAGTGTCATGATTCAATTCATTAGGCATCGCCGTAAAATTATATCCTATTCCTCGACACATCGGTATAGTGATTTCTTCACATCGACTGTTCATAATATTTGATGATTCAACATGAATTATTGATTGTTCAAGGTTATTACTCGTTAATGCTAAATGAGTGTTACTATTTGCTACAATATTAGCTGTAGATGAAAACGATAACGAAGAAGTTGAAGGTAAAGATATCTGGGTATAAATATTATTAGATGATTCTGCAATGCCATTAGCACTTGTAGATGGAATTGTAATAAAAATTGAAAATAAAATAGATCTTATTTTTGTAAAAAAAAACATCTTATGTAATTAATTTATTTCTTGAAATCTTCTTTTTAATGAGCTGAATAATTACTTAGCGTACAATTTATAAATGCCTGCAACATAAAAATGAATACATAATTAAATAAGTTGAAATAATAGTATATGAAATATATTTTTGCATATTTTTAATTTTTTAATTGTAACATAATATTATTACTAAATTCAGTGCAGACTGGCAAGAAAAAACGAAACGTAATTTCTAAAAAATTATTACTAGGAATCAATCCAACAAACAAGAATTACCATATAAAATTCAAAAAATTAATTGCTGCTAGAGCAGAACAAAACATGAAAGTATTGTTAACCTTTTAAAGGGTATATCTAAACTTACAATCCTGGCGAATTATTTTAATCATACTCTTGTTTTTGGGATCGCTGATTACGAAACTAAAATTAAAATTAAATATTTGAAAATGACGATGACAATATGGCGAACCTTAAGCAAAAAAATTTTAATATATATATATATGTATATATTTTCGAATTTTCTATAAAATTCTAAATAATAAACTTCAATTATTTTAATCAAAACACTAATTGTTTGAGAAAAAAAAATATTGAAGTTTTTAAAAGACATAGTTGGTTTAAAAAATTTAATTCTCTGTCAGCATTGTTCAGAAGTAATTGTTGCCAAGTAAATTCACGACATAGAGAAAAAGAGAATTAGAATAAGTTTTACATAATTCCGCTTAAGAGTGACTTCGCTTTCGTTCGATTTTGCTTATGGTAAGTTACTTTCATTTCTAGACTTTCGTTATTTATGGTATCTAATGTTAGTTATCCGAATCGGATAAGCAAACATACGATGATAGCAGTGTTCATCGTAGTCTTGAATACATAAAAAGTATCGTGAACAATGTACACAAATTGAACAAAGTGAGACAAAAAGCATACATATAAAATTAGGAGTCTGTTACTTCAATGAAGCAAAATTAAAAAAACATACATACTTGTGTTTTGCAAGAACAGATACGCAACAATTGACAAACGAACTATCCAACGGTTGCACCGCACAGTATCGATGTCGGGTCATTCGTAGTTCGAAATTTTTACAGCACAGACGTCTGGGGAGCGTTATATCACACGAGATGGCATCGTGATGCGACCATGATGTAGAGAAGAAAGAAAGAGCTGAAAGCGGGTATCACAAATACATGGGAAGCAACTATCGCTAACGTCGAAGTGTGCTGAAATGACAATTGGTGCATGTCAAAGGCTGTCGGCTGAACGTCCGCAGATGTTAACTAGTACACGTTGAGATGGTGGTTAGTATGCAGCCCAACGGGACATTCGGTTGGTATTGACTGTGCGTGCGTTGGATTCGATGCATCTTTAAAATATAATCTTAAAAATACACTAGTGGAAAAAATTAAAGGATCAAAAAAAAATTCCAAATTTTTTGACGCTTTCAAACTGGCTGTATTTCCCTTGAAAATGGTCGTACTGGAATTAGAAAAAAAGCGTTTTCAAGTTTGAAGTTTCTAGTTTTGAGATCTCATAATCAAAAATTTTTTCAAGCAATATGTTCTGCTCAGTCCTTATGAATACCAAAAAAAATTTTTTTATGAAATTTTTTCAGTTTTTCTTTAGTCTACGAACTTGGAAAAAATTTTTCTAACTTAGCCACTCTATGGATCGGATAACTTGTTTATTCAGCTTTAATTTGCATTTTTGAAAAGTTCAATACCCCCACCTCTTGCTGAGATATTGAACTTTGAATGGAAAAGGATCTTTTTGTCTTTAACCATCAATATCTCAGCAACCGCTGATTGCACAAAAAAATGAAGGTAGGTTATGAAATCTTGAATAAATTTCCCAAAAAACTATACTACTGTTTGTGAAAAAAAAATTTTTTTTATTCTTTACATTTATTTGAAAAAAGGGTATTTTGTAACTTTTGGGATAATCAAGCGCTAAGTTGGAACTATCGAGAAAACCAGAAATGTTAAGCTTGTCTTTTACAGTTCAATATGCCCACAAAAACCCCACAAGGTTTCAATTCAATCGATCAAGCCATTTTTTTGTTTTATTCAATCAAATTTTTGATAAAAATTAAAGGATCACAATTTTGACATTAAATGATCATAATCTTGAAAAAAAGGCAAAATAAATTTTTTTTTTTAATTTTGAAACATTTTTTTTAATGACTCCAAAAAATTTTGAACTAAAACTACTGCCGGCATCAGCATTACCCGAAGCGTACCACATGGAGGTTGCCCGGTCGGATTTACGCTTCATGTGTATGTTTTTTTTAGGAGAAATGAGACCCGGAGGCTTGTCAGTTCCTCCGTAGTTAATGACTTCAAACTCATTCTCCTAAGAATGTGTGTTTGCGCGCGCGCGCGCGCGTGTGTATGTGTGTGTGTGATGAGGAAAAAAAATGTTTCAAAAAAAGCATTTCAATTCTCTTAATAACGGGTATTGCCACCCCTGTTCTCAATAACGGCTGCCAAGCGTTCAGTCATATTAATGGAGCGGGCAATCTGGGGTTGCGGAATGGTGTTCCAAATTTGCAGAAGTGCACGCTCTAATGCGGCCAAGTTGTACAAATTTGAATACTCTCTGCGCAAACGACGACCCATTATGTCCCAAACATGCTCGATGGGGTTGAGGTCTGGACTCATTGGTGGGTGCCGCAGCAATGTCATGTCATGTCGTTCTCAAAAGCGTCTGGTGATGTTGGCTATGTGTGGATGTGTGTTATCTTGCATTAGAATAATCGCCCTCTGATGTTGTCACCTGCGCAGTACAATCGGTCTCAAAATTTGGTTAATGTAGCGTTGAGCTGTTAAGTTTTCGCGTACAATCAGCAGAGATGTTCTCCAATTTCGTGAAACGCCGCCCCAGACCATGACGGATCCTGATGCCGCTGTCGATGTCTTTGTCGCTGTTGTACCCGATTTGGGAAATTACTTGCCACGATATTCGCATTGATGAAAGGTTCACGTCGAACTTGTCGGACAATCGCCCGATCATCGCGAACAGTCGTGACACGGTGGCGACCTTGTCCAAGGCGACGATTGTATTGGTTCGTCTCCCGGTATCGCGCATACGTTCGAGATATGATGGATTGACTAACACCCATCTGGATAGCAACATCACGTTGACTGTAACCTTTTTCAAGCAGAGTGATCAAACGAGAAACCTCCGGTTCTGATAAATGCTGTCTACCATGATCGAAAATCAAAATGAATTTTTGATTTTTGCAAATTTATGAATTTTTTTTCTAATGCAAAAGGAGTGGTTTTGAAAAAAAATTTTTTTTTTAGCGTTGTAAGAGTTCACGAAAATTAATGATAAGCAATTTTTAAAAAGCGTGTAGATCGAGTTCGAAATTCGATTGGGTATATCAACTTTATTTAAAATTAAATTAAAATTTTAATTCAGTTGAAGTTTATAAATTAGGAAAATCATGAAATATAATAACAGAATCGCGTTAAAAAAGGCAAAGATTATGATAATTTATGATCGTAAATCATATGTGGTGGTAGTTTTTGTTCAACATTTTTTGGAGTCATTAAAAAAATGTTTCAAAATTAAAAAAAAATTTTTTTTTGCCTTTTATTTCAAGATTATGATCATTTAATGTCAAAATTGTGATCCTTTAATTTGTTTCAAAAATTCGATTGAATAAAACAAAAAAACGGCTTGATCGATTGAATTGAAACCTTGTGGGGTTTTTGTGGGCATATTGAACTGTAAAAGACAAGCTTAACATTTCTGGTTTTCTCGATAGTTCCAACTTAGCGCTTGATTATCCCAAAAGCCACCAAATACCCTTTTTTCAAATAAATGTAAAGAATAAAAAAAATTTTTTTTTCACAAACAGTAGTATAGTTTTTTGGGAAATTTATTCAAGATTTCATAACCTACCTTCATTTTTTTGTGCAATCAGCGGTTGCTGAGATATTGATGGTTAAAGACAAAAAGATCCTTTTCCATTCAAAGTTCGATATCTCAGCAAGAGGTGGGGGTATTGAACTTTTCAAAAATGCAAATTAAAGCTGAATAAACAAGTTATCCGATCCATAGAGTGGCTGAGTTAGAAAATTTTTTTCCAAGTTCGTAGACTAAAAAAAATGGAAAAATTTCATAAAAAAATTTTTTTTGGTATTCATGAGGACTGAGCAGAACATGTTGCTTGAAAAATTTTTTGATTATGAGATCTCAAAACTAGAAACTTCAAACTTGAAAACGCTCTGTTTTAAATTCCAGTACGACCATTTTCAAGGGAAATACAGCCAGTTAAAAAGCGTCAAAAAATTTGGAATTTTTTTTTGATCCTTTAATTTTTTCCACTAGTGTATAAAGGCAGGCGCCGAACGATGATCATGACTCACACTATAAATGTCTTGCCATGCATCTACCTTCCACCCACTAATCACTCACTAAACTTTATGCTTGCTGTTCCTCTTTTATAGCGAAACTAAGTCTCCGGTGGTAAGTCTTACAACGAAGTCATTTTCAGCTTAAAATTTTTCGTTTTTGCTCTTGCGGTATCTGTGCGCTCACGGCCGAGCGGTTCGAACCCACGTGCTTTTGCTGCCACAAACGATATGCATATTATGTCCAAACTGGTCTCGTTGTTTCTCTTTATCGCTATTAAGCCTTCCTCTCTCTGGTAGGCATTAGAGTAATCCGTTCATCAACTCGCTCCTGTGATATTTTGGATTCTACGTTTGTTTTTCTACTGTGTTGAGTGAATTGTTTCAGGTCGGAGCAGCTCTTTACTATTTACTGAAATTCGTGCTTTTTACATGACCATTGGTAATATTAGTTGTCTGATGTGATTTTAATTACAATTGGCCTATTACCTCATTTTATTCAATATTAAAATTTTTTGCTTACTAACAACAATCGCACGCCTGCTACTAAAATCAAGTAGTAACATCGAGGATGAAGATAATTACTATACGTTTAACTCTTTCAAAACGCTGGACTTTTCTATAATATGGGATCGTATACTGTTGTAGCGGATGGTCTTTTTTCACCTTTTGACTTCGCTATTTTAGCTGCTTCATCATCTCAAACATCTTAAATTTAACAGGAAGTTCTTTAATTATTAGCTTGATTAAGATACTGTTGGTAGTAACTCGTTGTTGGAGTATAGTGCGTAAAAGTGTTGAACTAATTTTTATGTGGCTAATAGTTCTAGCGTAGTCATAAATTATTACTTATACATTATTAGTATTAGTAGTCATAAATTACACAGGCCGACAAAAAAGTCCTGAACCAGAAATTAAACCTTACGCTATATCCAAATCCAGCATCACAATTAACCCAACAGGTCAGGTTTTCAAGATATCCTAACTGATAAGGACAGAAAATACGATTTTAGCTATATTCGTGGTTATCTACTACCACCAATAATTTTCTTTACGGATAGCTTCGTTTTAAAGCAGAACTATCATTCGAAAAAACCCTGACTCCAAATCTTATGCATCTTTTTTTTCACTGACAAGGGGACCTTCCCTCAACCAGATCTCATCGATTTTAATAATTTTTTTATATGTTGCAGTATTCGGCAAAGTAAGAGACACATTTTTTTCTTTTTTATGCCGACATCCACTTTTAATGATAGAAAACCATCCCTAGATCTTACCCTTAAAATCATTTTCTTATTATATCTCAGTATCTAATGAATATTAATAAAGACTAAGCGTTTTAATAAAACTAAGTGGAGAATATTTGCTGTAGAAAGTCTAAGATATTAGGCGTATTAATGACCCAGGGGGTTGCAACCCTTATTTTATATTTTTTCAAAACTAGATTTTTATTCATTTTATTTCTTTGAAAATCAAGGTATGAACTCGAAACATTTGAGAAATGTATTTGAGTTTACTATATCGAATACTTAAATTAAAGTTTTTCAGAATTTTTTAAATTGCCATCCTCGAGTACCGTTAATCATCTTTACAAATGATATACTTTACGTAAGTGATAAAAAATTAATTTTTTCTTTAAAATATTTATACTTATTTAAAAATTAATGAATTATAAAGTTTATAATGTTTTTAAGGCAATATTAGAAACTTCCATAATTATTATTATCGCTGCTACAATTATTTATATAATAATAATACAGGCTGACAAAGATTGTGTGAATGTGTGTGTGAGTGTAAAGATTAATTCTTTAAAAGTAGTGAATTTATTGTTAGCATATTTCCCAAACCTCGCAAATTACCAATAATAAAAAAATATTAGCTTGACGAATTATAAAGAAATGGAGTTGTCATAAAAAAATGAAATAAATATTATTAACCCTTTAACGCTCAAATGGCCAAAATTTCAACGTCAACTTCAAGCTCGTGCCTTTCAATTATAACCCATGTGAAAAAAATATTCAGATACATATTCTTGTGTAAAAAAATCTCATTTTTCGAATAGCATTGTTAAATTTATTGAAAAATGAACGCAAACAGTTTATTTTAAACAATAAACAAAAAAAAATGCAAATTTTCAAAATTTTTTTCTTTAGAGGAATTTTTTCAACTATGTTCTCGGTACTCCAATATATCCTAACCCATCAGGATACGGGACCCGAAGGTTGTACTTCAAAAATATATCTTTAGATACTTCGATTTTGACTGTTAATCGATCCAAAATGGCGCCCGAATGCCCGAAATTATTGCAAAATCACAGAAATTTGTACTTTTGAAGTCGAATCTAAGTTTTAGCAAGCAAAGTGACTTTTGTGAGTTTTATGTCAAAAGATTGGATGCATATTAGCAAAATTAGCTCACGCAATTGATTTTCAAGATGGCGGCCACCAAGAGTCAGCTGAAATAACGTATTACATGTTTTTATAGCCACTGTATAGTCTCCAATCCTCTTTTTTTTTATCGTTTAGTAAACTCTCTGAATCATTAGATCTAAATTCATTATTAGATTATCAAAATTCAAAATGGCGTATCTAATATGGCGGACCGTAACCTGAAAAATAGCTATTTACGGAAAATAAAAAATATCGTATTCTACGTAAAATTTGAGATAAAATAACTTCAGTTCATTTTCTCGCTCAGAGTCGCCATTCTCGAGTGAAAAATTCCCAAAATATCAGAAATCGAAAATTCGCAATCGTGCTTCTAAGACGATTTAATGGCCTTACGATGGCGATCGCGCGTTCTTTGCCTCTGATTTATCAGTAATCACTAGAGTTGCCCGATTCTCACCACGAGGAGGTGAACGCTTTCGAGAATCATATTTTTTTGTTTTTTGTATATTTTTTGTATTTTTTTGTATTTTTTGTATATTTTTTGTATTTTTTGTATTTCTTTGTATTTTTTGTATATTTTTTGTATTTTTTTGTATTTTTTGTATTTTTCAAACATTTTCTTAGGTTTTTTTAATTTTTAGTTTCTTATCTTCCTTCCATTTAGGGATGAGCCGTCTTAAAGCATGTACCACAATAATACATAGAACATGTAGTGCAAAACTTTCGTGTACGAATTCCACAACCCTGATTGCCGCACAGCTTTCGGACCTCAAGTTGTTTGGTATCATGGAGTAATGATCCAGATTTCCTGCAAGACCTGCTCAAGTAATTCTTACCTATTCTCATAGCAAAATCTTTTGTACTCATTTTCACGCCATTACTCTGATTAGCAGTATTATATACAATCACAGCATTAGCTATGGAAGTTAGAATAAGTCGGATAAATATTATCCACGTCCATTTTTTAGATCGTATTATTGGTTCTATTTTATTGCAACGTTTATCATGTAAATCAACTCCACCCATGAATTTATTATAAATCAAAAAAGCTCTTGGGAAGTCAAGTTCTCTCTTTTCTTTTTGACCTTTTTAGCGACGTAGAACAGGGCCTAGTGGTGTTGCTCCAGCTGCAGTTGATAAAATAGAGACTGGTTTCGAGTCCATTACGGTCAAGAAATTCAAACCACTATTCTGATCATGTTTTACCTCATATTTTCCTCGATCGTCTTTCTTTTGGATACTATTTTGGACACAGACTCTATTTTCTCTAACTGTACCAGTAGCACACAATCCATATTTTTTCAAATGGATAAGTAAATCTGGGCTAGTGAACAAATTATCGAAGTAAATGTGCAATCGATCTCTGTTACGAAGAGTCACGGTACTGAAAACTACTTGCAGCATATTGACAACCACACGACTACCTAGAGCACATTTTGATAATACTCCATCCGTATCAGAATTTTTCCCACAGTAAATTTCAAAATCAAATAGATAGCCATTAGCACAGCAGAGGGCCCACATTTTGATTCCGAACCTCACGGGCTTACCTTTTATGAATTGTCTCAAAACTGTTCTTCCATAAAACTTTAGCATCATTTCGTCTATTGACAATGCTGTTGAAAAAATACCATAACGTATCAAATTTTTTCTAAATATATCTGTCAATTTTCTGACGTGATAGATCCTATCAGTATTATTTCTCTCTTCAGGCTTATGAAATTTGATTTTTGACTTGATCTGTTCAAATCTTTTACGGGATATTGCGGATACTACCGGTTCAGCTCTCAAATGTGAGTCCGTAGACTAGTAATCTCTCTGAAATAGTCTTTTATTGTAGGTGGTAAATATAATAATACCAATGAATACATCAAGTTCAGTCCTTGAGATTTCACAGCCATTTATTTTGTGTATTCAATGATGTGATCCTTCATTTCGAGAGTGAAGAAGCATTCAAATAAATTTGTTGGAGTACTTTTCAATATGCTTTCTTTATCCGAATTTCTGTGGAATATCTCATTTGTGAAAATCCTATTATGATTATGCTCTCCATTGAGACATTCGTACTGGTGATCATTCTCTAATTTCTTTTGTGAACTACTGTAACTTTTGTAAACATCATCGTAAAAATTGACAATAAACGTGGTCGTGGAATCATCAACTTGCTCCGAGCCTGAATCGCCTTCTGAACAATCATCAGAATTTCCATTTATTGAAATATCTGAATCAGATTCACCAGAATCTTCAGCGTTTGGTATTATATTAGCATTGATGAATTCTCCACGTTTGTCATATTCAATGGACCCTTGTGCAACTGGGTTCCGTTGACTGGATTATTCAAAATTTGCCGAACTACTATTCTCACGTCTACAATTAGATTTCCTTTTGGGTATTGTGCCTTGTGTATGAATGTAGATACAATTTTTTTAGGGAATGAAGTTATGCAAATCCATGCAGTTATCCAATCCAATGCAATCAAAAGCTATCCAATTGATTTCATGCCCAAATATTTTTCTGGAATCGATCCTCACAAACGTGGAAGAGATTGCAAATCGGAGAAAAATTCTATCACGACTATGCTTTCTGGGTCTGTGCAACTCCCATTATCGAGTCTAGGATGAGATTACCTATCAGGGACTGTGCGATACATGCGATCTTGAATACAGTTTTTTTAGGAATAAACTCATAAAAACAACATTGTCATTACAGACACTGAAGTAATTTCATGACCAGATATCTTCGATTTTCGGAATTCACAAACGTGAGATGGTTCGCGAATTTGAGAGGAAATTTATATAGGAATGACAGTCTTCAAGAGCTTTTACCTGCTTGCAGTGAGAATCGGAAAACTCCGATCGAAAACGCGTGATTGCGAAGTTTGGAGGCGAATTTTCGATTTCTGATAATTTGGGAATTTTTCACTCGAGAATGGCGACTCTGAGCGAGAAAATGAACTGAAGTTATTTTATCTCAAATTTTACGTAGAATACGATGATATTTTTTATTTTCCGTAAATAGCTATTTTTCAGGTTACGGTCCGCCATATTGGATCCGCCATTTTTAATTTTGATAAGTTAATAATGAATTTAGATCTAATGATTCAGAGAGTTTATTAAACGATCAAAAAAAGAGGATTGGAGACTATATAGTGGCTATAAAAACGTGTAAATACGTTATTTCAGCTAACTCTTGGTGGCCGCCATCTTGAAAATCAATTGCGTGAGCTAATTTTGCTAATATGCATCCAATCTTTTGATATAAAACTCAGAAAAGTCACTTTACCTGCTAAAACTTAGATTCGACTTCAAAAGTACAAATTTCTGTGATTTTGCAATAATTTCTGGCATTCGGGCGCCATTTTGGATCGATTAACAGTCAAAATCGAAGTATCTAAAGATATATTTTTAAAGTACAACCTTCGGGTCCCGTATTCTGATGGGTTAGGATACATTGGAGTACTGAGAACATTGTTGAAAAAATTCCTTAAAAGAAAAAAATTTTTTAAATTTGCATTTTATTTGGTTTATTGTTAAAAATAAACTGTTTGCGTTCATTTTTCAATAAATTTAATGATGCTATTCGAAAAATGAGATTTTTTTACACAAGAATATGTATCTGAATATTTTTTTCACATGGGTTATAATTGAAAGGCACGAGCTTGAAGTTGACGTTGAAATTGGCCATTTGAGCGTTAAAGGGTTAAATCGATGCAATAAATGACCTCAATGAAGTTAATATTTTCGAAAAGACGTTGGATTTTTATGAAGAATATAAAAATGGTGATGCTAAAATAATTGAGGACGAAGTTCAACATCATTTTCCTGATGTTGTACCAACTAATCAATGTACCAAAATTACGGAAGATATCAGTTTTGATTATAAACAGAAAACCGTAGTATATTTGAGAAGAGGAAAGGCGAAAAATTTAAATATTGAAACGGTACAAAAGATTAAAAAAAGTGTCATTGATGCATTTTGGAAGTACATTAGCAGTTGAAGGAAAAAAAGGCGCAATGTTTGGTACAGTCAGTTTCATCGAATCATATAGTTACATTATTGTAACAGTTCGGTCTAATCTGTTCTTTTTTCGATTTTCACTGCGCGATGGCAACCTGTTAAATATCCGAAAATGAGAAAAAATGCTATTAAAATTAAGGTACTCTTCACATACATGCGTAGATGTATTAAGGCACTTGATCAAAATCATTACCATATAAGAAGCGTGACGTCACACCTATATACGAAATCTGTTGTTAACTATGCAACATCTGTAATTTCAAGCTTTTACCATGAACAAAAGCACTTTTTCAGTTAAATTTAATTCACTGATCTCGAATTTAACTCTGTTATGAGTATTAATTGGGCAAGAATTAGCGAATTTAATTTACAAGTAAAAATTACATACAATGTTGCAATAACAAATGCAATGCGAATTTGAATATCACGCAGCGAAACTACCATTTTAAGAGAAGCAAGAATTTGACATGTTGATAACTAATTTTTAAAAAGTTATCAGTAATTAAAACTTAATAATTTATTTACACATTTAAAATTACTTAGCGAATTAGCGACCCAATGGTACATATAAGATTAGTGAAAACGATTGTTATCCGATCATCGATTTTATAGTTGCAAAAGAAATCATTTGCGCAGTCATTATTTAATTATTATTCAAATTCTGTTTGTTAAATTGGTAATCTTAATTTTAGATAATTTTCCGTGTATCATAAATAATTTTTTGGTGCAAAAAATTCCTATAGTTTTATTGTAAATTTTATTCTATTCGTTTAATTAACTTTACTTGTTTTTAACTTCGTAAGGCGACTTTTCCTTAAGAAGCGATTGATGTTATAAAATTCAGAGTAACTCAATTTTTTAAATTACAATATTTTCACTTCATATTTCGCGGTAAAGCTTATTTAAAGTTTGTGCAAATTTACGAAAACAGCGTTATAGGGGTAACCAAGCGTAGAAAAGAGCCTTTTTCGCAAGTATAAATTAGCTCGTCGTTGTGGTAAATGGGATTCCAATTCAACCTTGCTTATCAGTGCGAGCACTGTACTAATGAAATAAAGTCTCAGACATTTCCTGAGATCGGTATTAATTATTCAGTAGTTAGCGTTGCTTTCCTTTCCTACACGTTAGTATAAGAGCTCAAATTCTAAGACTTTCTCTTATGAGGAAAAAGCAGTCTTAAACTATCTTATCTCGAAATTATATCATTACAGCCTAGAAATTAGACTACTATATATTTTTGTTGCGACGCTGTCTGGTCTTTCCTAGATAGATGCGACAATACTTAACAGAATTTCAAACGGCTCATCGAAGTATCGAACTGTGTCAAATCAGACCATGTTCATTGCTTGATGATTGAATTTTCTTACTGTTTTCGAAATGCACTTACTCTCTATCGCAAACGACCGAGAATTGTTACCATTGTAGTTTCAACTTTGAGTAGTGAATTTCCGAAGTTTTTAGTAATGATTGTTGATGTTCGTGTATCTTTCAGGAACACCTCAATCAATACGAGTAAGCCACTGATAACTATCATTATGATTATTTCGAGTATACATAATTATATGTCACCTTCGTGCTTACTCTCGGAAATATAATTTGTAAATATATCTTAAAGTTCGAACTTAATTTATTATAAAGTAGAAAAGATTAAACGTTACACTATACAACCATATATCAGTACTAAACAACAACTTTCATCGCTTTGCTTTGTTTTAATAGAATAAACTGGTCAACTCGGCCCTGTTGTAAAAGAACAGTTATTTAGGCCAGAAAATGGGTATATAGAAACATGAAAATCTGGAAAGTGAGTAATATAAGTAATTTTTTGTTTACTATAATGAAAAAATAATGAAAATGAATTGATGACTATATTTTTTGATTATAGATCTCTATAAAATTTTATTAGAACAAGTATTTCATTCACACATAGGACCTCAGTCTATATTGTTAAGCTCACACACTCACAAAAGATAATAACAACTTTATTATAAAAGAATGATAACGAGTTTTATTTTCGAAACTCAGAAATAGGTTAACAGCAGGTATTATCAGAGTCAAGCATTAACACAACAACTGAAAAAATCATAACACCGACGAGAGAGAGGTTGCTTAGCAACGCAAACGTTCTTTTGCTCTTCAAATGAGCCACACATAACATTATCCCCCCGTCTTTCAGATTACCGTCCCGACAATCTCAAAAAAAAAGGGAACAAAAGACCGATGACGGCAAGTCTTAGTTTTCCTAACCAAAGGCCCGTCTCTTGAAAATCAGCACAGTCTTTTCAAAATCTTCTACTTCTCGAAAATGGCATCCTCATCAAGCGGGCTGTTCCTTCGCTCATGGCCAAAGGGTCCGTCTCTTGAATTGATCCATCTTGAAATTTCGATAGAATCATCTGGAATCAACTCATCCGGTCAAAGGATCCGTCTCTATCGTGATAAATTGCCAGTTGGTCAATGTGGACTATCTTTGTCTTGTGTTTTGTAGTCTTTTGGATGCAAAACACTACGTCGTTGATTTTCTTTATGATCTTGAATGGTCCCTCCCAGTTACTTTGGAGTTTTGGTGTTTTACCCTTGAT